CTAGGCATGTTTTAAATATAAACTCAATCCAAGTAAACGTTGACATTAAAATAAATATATAACAGCAAATTCGTTACAAACCCATTTACTCCAACTACTGTAAAGTAGAAACATAACGATATAGTAAAACCTTTTTATTGTTTTTGGACACGCATGTGCTAGAGCAACGAAATAAAAACGTAATTTCGAAATTATAGGAACAGCCGCAATTACGGTGATTATGCCTGTCTTTAGACTTTGATTAATTTCTACTTGTTTCCGTCAGCTACTGGTGCGGTTTTCAATAAACCCAACAGCCGCTACAAGGAGTGGTTACATAGTACACTTGTGCATGTCACTTTTGTAGCTCAAACACTTCTTTCACGCACTAAGAGAATTTAACGAAGATATCTTATACTCAAAATCAATAATTGATTAAACACATGTTAAAGAAAATGTAAAAAAAATTGTCTTTTTATGCTAAGTTTGTGAAAACAAAATGTGATTTCTAATATAGCAAGTGAAACGTTAGTAAGCTTTAGGCTTACGTGGCTTAGAATATCATTTGAAATCACAACGAAATTGTATAGAATTTCAAATAAAATGTTATGTTTGCTCAGAGCAACCTAGTAAAAAATTAGCAGCCTTCGAAGATGAATTAGATCTAATTAATGATAATCTATAATTAATAAAGTGTTATGTTTATTTACAGATACCTGGAATGGAATTAATAATCAGAAAGTTTTGTTCAATATTAACTAGCCCAATGTTATGGTTTTAGGAATAACTAATGAGTTTACTAAAATTCACCTGGTTCGAGAGTAATTAGGGAAATGTTAAGTTTGCTAACAAACACATTTGTTAAAACTATATTTTTTTTTCCAAAGCTGTTTCTGGAATAATTAACATTTGGTTTAAAATACTAGTGAATATATTAAAGATACAATTGGGTTAAAATTATGATTAATAAGGTGTTATAATTAGTTAGAAAGAACTGATGCATTTATGAGAAAAGAATCAGTGTTTAGTTAAAAGGAACAAGTTAAAACTTAATAGGTGCGAAGCTGGTTTTTTCAAATACTTTACTCAATATATTTATATATAACTTTAAAAAAATTGGAATGTTATGTATTATCATGTAACATTTCTACTAACTATGAAATAGATTAAGAACTACTTAGTAAACAAATATGTAATATTTATGTCAAAATAACAGGAGCTACTAAGAATATATATTGTATAAGTGATGCAATCAACTGATGTACCTGTACAGTTTAATATTTAGAACTTTTAAACACTTTAACATGTTTTATTTTGGAAGTGGGATGATGACTAGTTCGTCTCGATTTAAACCCCAAATGTTAGTCTTTCAAACAATAATATCTTAAAACTTTAGAATCAATATATTGATATTTCATTAGCTACTAATTACAAATTATCTTGAGCAAAAATATATTTTAGTTTAGCTTTAATCAGTTTCTTTGCTTAGTAATAGTATTTATTATTAATAAGTTTTTTAAACTTAAATTTATTTAATTAAATGTTATCGTTGTCGATGTTTCATAGACTTTACGATCCCCTTCCTTGTTACACTTTACATTTCGGCTGCTAATTGACTTTTCTCTGCAGGAGGGTTCCAAAGCACATTTTAGGAAGCTTAGCCAGAATTGGAACCAAGTTATGTTCATATAGTCTACCAACTATGCTAATAATAGAATTTTGATAACTATACCATAAATTTATTGTTAGTACCTAAATACATCGTTATGTTTGTTTAAGGGAAACTATTCGTAACTTACTAAAGTTAAGTTTGGTTTTCAACAAGTTAATACAATAGTTTTTTAAAGGCAATAATTACTATACTTACTGAAGGGAACGTTTATCTGTGACTAATTACTCAAATGTCCGCTTAAGCTTGTTTGTAATTAAACACAAAGCTACATAGTGGGCTAGCTGTTCTCTGCCACCACGGGTATCGAAACCCGGAGTCTACCGTTGTAAGTCCGCAGACATACCGCTGTGCCAATGAGGGGGGGGGGGGCAGTCAGTTAAGAGATAACCACTGAAATAATTTCATGTCTGTTGTTTAGGGCTAATTATTCAAATGTTAGTTAAGAGATAACCACTGAACTAAGTTCATGTGTGTTGTTTGGGGCTAATTAATCAAGTGTTAGTTAAAAAATAACCACTGAACTTATTTAATGTACGTTGTTTATGGCTAATCAGCCCAATGCTAGTTCAATGATAACCAGTGAATTTAGATAATGTTTATCTAGTTGAGGACTTAATTTATCACGTAATCTGTTTAGGACTAATTAACGAAATATCCTACCTCTTCTTACGAAAGTATCAACTTTATTCAATATTAAGTTGGCTTGTGATAATATGCTAAGATGTTAAGTTTATTTAAAATTTTTAACACCTAGTTAGTCAAAGTATATTAGTTGAAATATGATAAGCAATATGATTTACTTGTTTACGTTAAAATAGTACTATTTAAACCTAGTTTGGTAACTATTAGATAGTCGTGTGCTATACTTTGTTATAAGATTGGTGAAATAGTGATCATTGAAGAATAAGTCTCGGTCTATTCAATTAACTTGATGATATTTTAAAAATCTTACGTAAGGTAAAAGGTGATATTCTGTTCTCTATTCGTACTATGATACGTATTTCTACTACAGTTTATTTGCATATATCATCGTTGAATTTTATTTTTCCGGTTTATGAGTACATTATAGTTTCAGTTTAGGCCTACCAATAGCACCGATTTGTGCTAGAACAAGTCATACACTAAAGGATTAAATTTGATAATTAAAAATAGTAACCAGACAACTAAGTATAGTTTTATAAGCGTACTAAGTTTTTGAGATTTTAGCTTTTCTTTATCACTTTGGCTTTAGTACGTTGTTCGTTCGATAAGATGAATCGGGTTTAAAGTTCATAACAATTCCTGAAATCTTCTTAAAATGCGAAGCTTATCAAAAGCCTTTAGTGAGTTTCAGAAAGTTCATTCTTAGAACGATATAGTTAAAGGTATATCTGTATTTAAAGCACTCACTATTTCGCACTAATATGGTCATAAACTAGTATGTGAATTGGTTTATTCCACAAAGATTAGATTATAAACAGATATTTTTAAGAAGAATAAAATGATTATTTATCAGTCACTTAATCTGAATATCCCTTTTATCTCGAGTTACGTGGTTAAGTTTCAAATTTCAAACCTGTAAACAGAAATATATAGCTTATCATAGTGAAACATTTGAGGCACTTAAATACATAATGGAACCAACTTCTAGAAAAGTGTTTTACTGCAGAAATTTTCATTATCTAATAGTATGCTAAATTTTGAAAATGAAATACAATAATACATTATGTCGTCGATAAATGCCCCCCAGCGGCATGTCTGCGGGCTTATACTGCTAGAAACCGGATTTCGATACCCGTGGTGGGCAGAGCACAGATAGCCCATTGTGTAGCTTTGTGTTTAACTACAAACAAAGAATCGTCAGTAAATAACATATTTTTCTTACAGAGATACTAGCCCCCCCCAATGGCACAACGGTATGTCTGCGGACTTATAACGCTAGAAACCGGGTTTCGATACCCGTGGTGGGCAGAGCACAGATAGCCCATGGTGTAGCTTTGTGCTTAAGTTCAAACAAACAGAGATACTAAAGCTGCGTATTTGTGTTCGCCAAAAGTCTGCGAAAAAAACACATATATAGCTGAACCTTCTTTAAATGTGTGTAATGTAATCTAGATTTCATAACTTTTCTTTCTTTCTTGTACATGGTCTCTTCTTTCGTATTTCTTCAGCATAAAATATTCAATCGTTTCACTCATTTTTAATCCTCAACTCACGCAATATATTTTTTTTACATTTAAATTCGTTGTTTAGAACAAAATAATTTTATTTTATATTTTTCACTGTTTATTGCCTGCAGTATCTAACACGTGTTTATAAATTTGAAGAAGCCAATTTCACATAATATGTAGAGAAAATTGCCAATAACTTTGCATTATTAAAACTGCAATGCAGGCAAAATTCTGCCGCATTGTCGGAATTTGTTATCTAAAAACTCGCAAAGCTTTAAGTAAAACCTGATCGTAGTTTGACACGACTGCTTTGCTAATTTATATATATCAACAATAAGAAACACATTTGCGTTTTATCCTAATAACAATAAGATGTGGAAATACCTTCAATAATCTATAGCCATGAAAGACAATACCTATAAATTATCATATTGTTTGTTTTCTTGGATGTGATGCTGGGGGATTAAAATACAACTATGTTTAGTTAATAGGCCATTTAAAATTTAAAAAAATGAAAAGGTATTGATATCGTAATAATAGTAAAAGTCTTTCTATTGATCTAAAACTCTAGAAATAATTTTGGACTAACATTCTGGTGGCAAGTAATACCAAAATTGACGAAAACTACTTTGTTAAAAATTAACAGAAGAACGAAATAAATTTTTATCTTTTTTATGTTTTAAATGTTTATGTTTAACTTATCATTTGGATTGTTTTGTTTTAAGCTGGGGCACACGATAGCCATATGGTAAAGCTCTGGATTTCGGAGCTAGTGAACTGCACTGCTGTGGGTGCGTTCATAAGAGTGACAGTCAATCCCTTATCGCGGATGATGAGCACTGAGCAGTATAGTATTGTTGACTGGCTGCCTTCCCTATAATTTGTAGTTCATAATTATAACCGGCGGCATATAGCCATAGCAGCTTTGTTATGAAAAATAAAAATTCAAAATACAAGCTTCAGGCTGACTTTCACATAACAACTCTAAACTATGTGCTTTAACAAAGATGACGTCTCTGTATTTAAATTGTGTAAAGGTTAATGAAATAATCTTGTTTAACACTTTCCAATTTGAAATGATGAAATTTAACATTTTCAAAATGTGTTTATTTTCGAATTTGTAAAGAAGTCAACTGATTACAACTTTCCATCAGTTTATTGCCTACATTTTTTTTAAATAAATATCCAACCATGAATTTTTATTTACATAATATTTTATCTGTCTAAACGCAACTTGGACAGTCCGGACAGAAGAAACGCTGGTGCTCTTGTGTTTTTTGCAGCTCGAATTCTGCTGTACTTTGTGAATTAATTTTGTTAACCAACTTAAATATTGATTAATAATGGTCACTTATATTTGAACTTAACCGGCAAAACCATGTTTTTTAAAAAAATATTTTAGGGTGATAATATAATTTGAATTATAATTACTCGAGCAAAAGGAGCTAGTCACGATGTTAAAACACTCGTGTTAGTATTTCACACCTTAAAAAAAAACAACTTTGATTTCTTTTATATGATTTTTTTTATTTTACAGCACCTCTACATAACACCGAAAAAAAAGACTTATTTTATTATAGTAGATACTAATTTTACATAATAGCAAAAAACTGAGAACGAAATCTAACGTTATAGAGAACTACCAATGCCAATTTGTAATAGTTGTGATATTAATGTAAAAACTTAAGTCAATCAAAAGTTTAAATTACTGATTGTTATAAAAAATCCCAAACTTATTAATGGTGAGTTATTGTACGCCATTATACCGTATGCATGATTTAACTATGAACGTTTAGGGATAGGTTCATTCAATTTACTGAGAAAGGCTTAAAAACGAATTTAAATTTGATCTGTCTTTCCATGTTCACTTTTCAAGATTGTCTTAATCTTGAACTGAGGCGTAAATGTAAATCAAGCGATTTTTTTATGAAGTAAGTTCAGTACGTACAAATACTAAGATGTCTGCATTATGACGTTATATATCAAAAGAAAAAAGGTCTTCAATTCTAATTTGGCTTTTTCGAAGAACACAAAGTCATGTTTGGTAGTATCTCTCTTGTCATCGGGACGAGGCAGCACATTTTTTTTTACTGATTTCTTTCACATCACTTGCCACGGACGCCATTTGTCACGTGCCTTCTTTGAAGTGTGCGGATCTGTGGGGAGAAGAAAGTAGGCTATGCCAGATTTGGATTTGGCGTGATGCCAACTTGATATCTCTCCTGTTTCTTGAAGAGCCCCCTGAAGTGAGTCTGGATAGTTTGGAGGCAAAGGACCCACGGACAGCATCTTTAAGTTGGCATGTTCGTTACCGGGGAAATCTTCCAGTCAAGCGGTTTCACCTGCAAGTGCGGAACTTTAGCACTGGAGCAGATTGGCTCGACGTGGACAACAATATCGAAGCTAACCTCAGCGTCTACACGGTACGGTACTTGTCGCCGGCCATGACTTACAGTTTTCAGCTAGCAGCGGTAAACGACGCAGGGTACAGCGACTGGGAAAATCTCAACATAACCATGCCTGCCGATGGTAAGTCGTACATACATAACTTTTAGTTTATTATTAAATTCATTTCGTCATAAACGTTGCTAAGCCTACTTGGTAACTTTCTTGTGGTAGAGAGCGAAGCTGACCGATTCCTCGTTTAGGCTGATGTTGAATTGCATAAAATACTGACTTGGATTATTAGAAATGGCCGAACATAGTTCATAGCAGAATTATATAGTCGTGACTACATTATCTCAGAATAAGATTTAGAAATATATATACCAGTTATAACCATTAAGTGTTACTTTGCTGCAAGTTATGACAATATGAGACTGTAGTCTTTCGTTTACACTTAAATTAAAACGCATTTGTGAAATGACTGAATAAATTAAGTTCAACCTAATATAATGTTATATTCCAAGTCCAACTGCTTGCATTTTTTTGTTGCCTTAACTTCCGGTGTTTGTTTTGCCCACCTAAACATTATAACATTGTACAAATTACTGGTCATATACGAGTTCGAGTTGAAACTGTATGTTTTGCCCAGCAACTTGGAATGTTGCCTATGAGACATTTAGATGATAAAGCTGTAATCTTTATCATGACAAAGGATGCAAATCCTGTATGTAGCCTGTTTCATTATGACTCATGATGTATGAACTTGGAACGTTTTCTTCAATAAGACATTTACTGATTTAGAGGATAGGGTGACACAGTATGCGTGTCCTGTATTTAGCATGTTTCATTATGACTCATAACTTATGACTGAGCTTGGAATGTTGTTTCTGAGACATTTAAAGGTAAAGCTATGATTATTATCATGACACAGTATGTGTGTTCTGTACTCAACACGTTTTATTATGACTCGTAATTTATGGATGAATTTGGAACGTTTTCTTCATTAAGATGTGTAGAGGATAAGGTTGTAATCATGACGTAGTGTGTCTGTCCTGTATTTAGCATGTTTTACTATGAGAATATAGATGATAAGATCATAGTAATTAAAACAATGTATAGAAAAACTAAAAAAAACATATATGTATATACAGTTAATATCTAGACCAATTATCATTAACTCTCGTTTTGAAGCCACGAGTGCAACTATACATAAATAATTGCCAAATGAAAAACGTTTACAACACTCCCTATTCTTTAGATATATGCACACATAAATTATCCACTCGTATTACAAGGGAGCATCTCCAAAAATATCTCATGATGTTTTAAGTTGCGAATATTTTAGCTGTTTTTTTGTCTGTAATTTTTTACAGCCCCTTAAAAATACAAGAAACTCCATTCAACTTTAAATGAATAAATAGCTGGTTATAAAGGTTTTACTTCACACGATATAAAAGTACTTCTTTACTTGTTTATAATCATTCAACTTGGAGAAAATATTAAGTATTCCATACTTGAAGTTGTATTATTTAGTACTCTCAATATAATAGTATCGTTTCTGGCCAACTGAGTTCATTTTGTACGAAATTTTAATTTTATTTAATTTTGTACTGGTTTAACACTACTATCCACAACACTTTTACAAAATGTTAGTGAATTATTTTGCTTACAGAAGATTATTAAACGTTTTTCGATAATGAAATGGTACACTTGTGCCATGAAAAAAATTTAAGTGTGTGCTTAATTTCCCCCATGTTGCTAATGAAAAGGTTCATTTACCCACATGGAGCTCAAGGAAGTTAAAATTTGCGTCATACCATTTTAATTACTACCATTAATCCATTATAAGGCTAACTGGTGAAGTCGCATTATAGAATATAGTAATATGATGAATGTATAAATAACAATAATAAAATACAGTGATGTTCTTGTTGCGCACTGGGGATACATATCTGCATTGGTCGAGGTCGTTATCTACTTAATGTATTAGATTGTCAGACATTTCGAAACATCGTTACAAAAACAAGGTAGGAAGTGTTGTTAAAAATGTTCGTATTCAAGAAACAAGACGTGATATTTTAACCCATTCCCTTTAGATAATGCAGTGCTAGTTTGTAATACGGCTCTTTATTAATAAGTTCATTGAAGAAATTTGTAATTATACGTCAGCGCACAAAAGAATTCTAGATAACTTTTTTTTTCTTTTTCAGATTAATCAGTCAATAATTAAAGGAAAACTTACTAAAAAAATACTAACTCAAAAATTTACCTTCTTTTTTTAACTATTAAATGTAATTATACTCGGAATTCAGAAAAAAAATCAACGATTAGGCTGCCATCTAACATTTTTTAACCGGTTATATGTGTTGCGTATTTTATTCTTGTGTTGACTTTGATACCATGTTTGGCTCTTAATAACTGTCACATGGTATTTGATTTTACCTTGTTGTTAATTCTAGTTGTTCGAAAACACTTTGTTTTTGCAAGAAAGGGGAAATATACTGGGTGAATGAGTAAGTTAAGTCTAATTACTAAAATATATAGACTTAATATATTTAAGAACTATATTTTTTCCTCTTTTTTTTTTAACGCCAAATAATGAAATACATCTGAAAATTACGAGTTGGTAATCTTCAAACTGTAATTTCAATGTGCATTTTTTTTTTCTGAAACGTTCTATAAAAATAACTTTAGAAAGTACTTTTGAAATAAGTTATTTCAAAGAACTGTCATCTAATGAAAAACAAAAACTAAGGAAATGAAGTGTGAGCTGTTTTCCATATGTGCTTTGGGCATTTGTTTGAAAAGCTGACTTCTAATAGGGTATTTTCATGTGCAATGATATATGTAAATCCACCACTGGTATTTCATAGTTCAACTGTAAATCTGCCTTTAACGATTATGATTGCGTGTACGTCGATATAAGACATAAAGCCAAGCGGTATTCTGCATATATTTATGTTTCGTGATTTGAGAGAAATGCATGATTATATATTCTCATAAGAAAAAAATTATTATATAGAAACATAGTGCTTTGGTTAGCCGATAATTTAGAATAAAAAAAAACGTTATTGCAAACGAACACATCTTTATCGTCACTGGTATTCGTAGAATAGACAGTTAAACTGAAAACTTTCTTTTAATACCCCACAAAGCATCTCCGGAAAAAAAAGTATTATTTTCCTTACTCATGCATAATATGTTGTATTTGAATAATTACACAGAGAAGAAGTCAAGAAAAACATCTCGAAAGTTCTATCTCCAAATTTCACCCAAGTGGCTGTAGACTTAAAAATGCTAAAAATTAGGTTTCTATACCCATGTTGGTTACAGCACAGATATCCCATTGTGAAACATTCTACTTAATTGAACTTTTTAAAAAAACTATTTCAAATTTTTATTCATTTCGATAAATCAGTTAACAGATACAATAATCGAAATTTGTTATAGTTTTAATGCAGTATATGATATTTTTTCTTCCACTTTTAGCTGCATTTCGTTTCGTTTGAGCAAAGTTAAAGTTCCAATAAATATGTTTACGACAAACGTTTATAAGTTTTCAGTCCTAAAACTTTATACAGATGCATTAATCTACAGTAGAGCATATCTTAGTTTACAAGAAAGATGTATCCATTATTGAGGGTTAATCACACTTTATAAGAACAATATTCCAGATGTCATAATACTCTTGGAACTACTTTCTCTCTCATCGATTGTTATATATATGATAATGCACATCGCGGATTTCTTTATAAGAAAGATTCTGCAGAGATTGACGAGGTCAATCTTAGATCATACATTTTAATAGACTTTATCAGACCTCCAAAGTATGAGGATGTCAATTTCCAAAACCACTTTGTTAAAGCAGATCAAAGGCATTCAAATCCCTTGGAGCTGCATCAAGAGACTTGACAAGTACGTGGTCTAATAGAATTTCTGTGATTCCAAATTTTCCTACTATCTTTAGCAGCCCAGCATTTAGCGTGTTTAACTGTGAATCAGAGGTTCCGTGGCTCACGTCCCGTTTACAAACAATAAAAAAAAAATTGGGGCCGTGAGAGCGTTATAAGAGTGATGGCCATAGCCCACAATGCTATTAGAGTAGTCCAAGAGTTAACGGAGGGTGCTGTTGACTACCTGCCTTGCCTAGTCTATCAGTTTAGCATTAGGGACAGCTAGCGCATAACGTCTTCGTGTAGCTTTGCACGAGTATTCGAAACAAACAAAGAGAAACGTTTTCTGTGTACGTTAAGCACTTCTAATAAAAGTTTGGTAAACTATTCAAATTGGCTTGAAATACAGTTAACAATTGTGAAGTTCCGTTTGTATTATTTATTTATCTTTGTTTCGTAAAATATGTAATGTTAAATGATCATGTATTATCGTACCATCCTGACAAAGTTAACACGTCGACGAATTTAATTTTTTCCTTTTGAAGTTCGGGCCGGCATTGCCAGGTGGTTAGGGCACTCGACTCGCAATCTGAGGGTCGCGGGTTCGAATCCCCGTCCTACCAAACATGCTCGCCCTTTCAACCGTGGGGGCGTTATAATGTGACGGTCAATTCCAGTATTCGTTGGTAAAAAGAGTAGCCCAAGAGTTGGCGGTGGTTGGTGATGACTGGCTGCCTTCCCTCTAGTCTTAAACTGCTAAATTAGGGACGGCTAGCGCAGATAGCCCTCGTGTAGCTTTGCACGAATTTCAAAAACAAACCTTCTGAAGTTACTCGTTTATACAATTAATTACAAATGCATATTTTATTCGATTACCCATCTGTGCTTTACTATAAAAGTTTATTCTAATAACATTTATATAATTGAAATCTGATTGGGCATAGTATGTTTTAGAAATTCACCCATAGGTAATAGTAATATTAACAAAATAAACCATATTCAAGTAAAATAGACGTTCCTTTTTTTTTTCTCCATAAAATTGAAACTGGAGCCACTCACGTTCTTACTTCATTTTACCACGTGATCATAAAGAGTTCAGTTGCTAAGCAACAGACTTTTCGTATTCTTCGCTGCTTATTAGATTGATGAACATTTTTTATAGCTTAGATTGCCTTTCTCGATCCATTTTTGTAACTCCGTTATGTGAATTTTCAACACATGTCATACATCCTGATTGGTAAACTAAAATAAGTTGGCATTCGTGCTTTATGGAGATACCTGAGATGGCAATTAATGGCGGAAATGATTAAACCACGAATTTCTTCGTGTTTTGAGCTAAACTTAAAGACTTCATTAAGAATTAGAAGATTTAGGCTGTACACGGAAGTTTAACCCAGTGTACAGTCTTGGCTAAAATATTTGCGTATTGTTCTATATTGATGTTATTGTCTACATGGCTGGAGTAATTACTGAGTGATTATCCGAGTAGTAACAGAGAAGGTAGCATATGATCGGACAAACATGTATGAGTTGTTATTTTGATCTGTGTAAGTTGTTTTGAGCTTTTGTTAGTAAAAACATACATACAAACCTGTTTTGTATAAAACGGTGTGCTTTTGGTATATTTTTTGAAACAGATCAACGCTTTGTTCAGACAATTTCTCTGTACTTGGTGTAGAGTCATGCCTCGTCACGTGCCAGAAGTTATAGGGCGTCAAATTGTTCTACCATCCAGAAATGGTATGAAGCAAACAGACATTGCCACAACAGTAGGATATCCCCAGTGTACTGTATCCGGAATCTCGGATACAGGATTATCGGATTACAGGAAACGTTGTTCTAGGAAAGTATACTGCCCGAGGTGACCATGTTGTGATCAGGTTAATATGTCAAGGTCGAAAGAAGTCTTGCAACACCTTACGACAGGAATGGCATGAACACATTTGTTTTGGGGTATCCAGAAGAACAGTGAATAGAGACTGACCAAACAAGGTTATTTTACAAGAAGAGCTATCTGCAAGCTGATATTAACTATAATTCACCACTGTCACCGTGTTATTGGGGCAAGACAGCATGACAACTGGCGACATGTCATCTTTTTAAATGAGTCCTGTTTCTGGCTTATTAAAGCTGATGGTAGGATTCGTATTCGTCGTTTGCCTGGAGAACAGATGAAAAAATATTGTATTTCCCACAAGGAACACATAGGAGGTGGTGCAGTACATGTTTGGGCAGCTATTCATCATAGTGAAAAAACTGCTCTTCACATCCTCCAGGAAAAAGTCAATGGCGCCTCCTTCAAGCATCACATTCAGACGATATTTCTGCCATATGGTTTGGCAATAACTTTGTGTTCCAGAATGATAATGCCACTGACCACAGTGCACGTATTGTACAGGACTATCTCGACGTTACAAGTTTGCTATGGTTAGCAAAGTCTTCAGACTGTAATCCCATTGAGAACTGTTGGGCAGAACTGAGCCGGAAAATTGCTACTGTAACTGACTTGCAGCGCCTTCTAGTGACAAGTTGGAATGACATCATGGTGGATTACATAAATAACCTCATCAACAGCATGCCACGTCGCCTTGCGGAGGTTATTACAGTACGAAGAAGACCATCCAAGTACTGAATGTTTAATATGAACTGATATAAGGTTACAGACGCTATTTATAATAATTTGATGTTATATTTTGTCATCATATATGTTTTGTTGTGACAGGTGAAATATTGAATTACACATCTTTCTACAGTTGTCTGATAAAATTGTTTGCTGTTCTGATAGATCGTACATAATGTCCATAAAACCTGTCTAATTATACAAATTACATATGTAGCTGTTTCATATAACATGCATTTCTCAGTTTTACAGCACTAAGTGTATTTGTATTCCATCTTAATAATAATGATCCTATTTGTTACAAAATATGCAAAAATTTTGGCCATGACTGTATTATTATATATACGAGTTCACTGGTACTTTATAATAATTTCTTCAACCAAGAAAATCACAACAAGATTAGAAAACAAAAAGTACAGAAACAAGTTGAATCAAAATATAACGATTATATTTTCAAGCCTACAACTAGGGTCTATAAAGAAAAAAAGTAAACACACAAGGCTAGAAATAGTGTCTACATTATTTTGTCAAGCTGTAAACCCCTATTTTGACTCCATGTCTACATTACTTATCGATTTTAGTGGAGCATTTTCAAGCCTACAACTAGGGTCTATATAAAAAAGTAAACACACAAGGCTAGAAATAGTCTACATTATTTTGTGAAGCTGCAAATCCCTATTTTGACTCCATGTCTACAGTACTTATCAATTTTAGTGGAGCATCGAAAACCGATGTTTAGCCATTTAAGCTCTCAGACTTGCATCTGAGCCACTGAGGATGAGATGGGGTAAATTTTAAAGTATCTCGAATGTATTTGTTTCTCTGCTAACAGGATTAAATGTTCTATACGCCATTATAAAAATGAAATATTTCGTGATGTTAAGTATTGTATCGTAAAAGTAACAGTAACAGTAATATTTCAAAGCATTAAATATTCGTTATTTGTCGCATTTATTCAAGAAAGTGGTGTGACTTATAAACCGTCAGTTACTGGTTATGGAACAATAATTCATTTAGACTTTAAAACCTTAGCTGCCCTGTAGTGGCTCAGTAAGCTTCGGGGCTAATAAAGTTACAATCCTGGATTCGATTCCTCCGCCTCGGGGCCCGGCATGGCCAGGTGGTTAAGGCACTCGACTCGCAATCTGAGGATCGCGGGTTCGAATCCCCGTCACACCAAACATGCTCGCCCTTTCAGCCGTGGGGGCGTTATAATGTTACGGCCAATCCCACTATTCTTGGTAAAAGAGTAGCCCAAGAGTTGGCGGTGGGTGGTGATGACTAGCTGCCTTCCCTCTAGTCTTACACTGCTAAATTAGGGACGGCTAGCGCAGATAGCCCTCGTGTAGCTTTACGCGAAATTCAAAAACAAACAAACATCCTCCGCCTCGGACATAGCGTAGGTTGTCCATTGCGCAGCTTTGCGCTAAACCAAACGCGCAGGCTCATAGAATGTATATAACGACATGAATGTAATTACAGAGATGATCATTAGTATTCAACTTTTGTATGAAACACTTAATATATGTCACACTGTATAAAAAACAATAATAAAACGAAAAACCTGTCAAATTATCGCAATGTCTCAAAATGTTTGACAGTTTTATGCCAAAAACATGTCATTCTACAGTGCTCAGTAAAACAAGAATTTCATTTCTGCTTGATAAATATTAATGTCCTTATTAATTCTTATTTTGTCAACGTCAGATACGCATTCTCATATCCACCATGTTTTATCTGTTTTGTGAAAGAACACGTCAATTTACATGTGTTCCTACAAATAGTATATGTTGTTTCTGTTTCTTTCCATTTCTATCATACAGTTCCGCCAAGAGTCTCGTGGATTCACGTTCTAGCATCGACTAATGAGACTCTTTTGTTAGGCTGGAGAAGACCTCGTCACGATAATGGAGCCAACATTACACATTATTTGGTTCAGTTACATCACAATGGTGAAGTAATAGCCAACGAAACAATGACTGTTATGCCAAATCCACGAAATAATTACATGTACATATTTGTTAACTTAGAACCTGGAGAGGATTATATATTTCAGGTAAGACATTTTTTGTGTGCGCTACAGGCTTTTAACGTGGTGAATATTTCGCTATTCGTCTTTTGTGAAAGTAAATTATTATGCACACGAATTATAAAATAAAGTAAATAAGAAAAGAACATACGACTTTACCCACTGATGAAATGTTATCAAGTTTTTAACCGTTTAATGATTTTTATTCAGATAATTTAGGACATCTAACATGTTTGTTTATGTTTTTTCATGAAATTCTTTAATTTTATTTTGCTGATTCTTTTTACTCTATTTTCATAGCATAAGTATATATTCAAAAATAACATAAACTAACGCCAGGAAATGATGGAATAACTTTCTTTCTAGGTAAAGGCGTGTAGTATTATTGGCTGTGGAAATTGGTCTGAACCAATGGAGGCGGGTACATCAGACGGAAGTAGGTTATTTTACACTGTTGAATATATTAAACTAAAACTTTATAGACTATCCTTTGTAATCCCCCCCTTTTCCTGGTCGAAAAAGCCGAGCTGAAAAGTATCTATTAACGGTGTACAGGAGGGGGAGGGGGAACATGTCAGAAAAAGTCGCATTAATCATCACTCTATGACAGGTTGTGATGGAACGAAGCGGTGCTTGTGGTTTTAGCACGCCATCTTTATGGTAGTGTTTGTCAGCTTATTCTCTATGGAAATGTCTCTTTTATCGCTATTTTGTTCAAAACCAATAGTATTTGTTACTAAACTGACTTAGTTTGTTGACGTAGTCGGATGGGTTGCTTTGAATTGTCAATAGTAAAATTACTGTATGAACGGCGTGTTAAGGAGAGAGAGTAAATTTATATAGCCTAATTTTGAAGATATTTCATTGAAGCACACCGGCAGCACTTCAAGTTGAAGCGATTTTTAAAAAAATATTGAATATCTACTAATACAATTCGTACTGAATGATACAGTGTACTGAAACTCTATTTGATATTTCAAGTTTGTCAGAAATCGCAAATGTTTCAAAATAGTAGACTAAAAATGGACGAACTCCGATTTCTTAATTTCGACACTGTCATTTTCGGGACCCTGCAGGCTCTGTTGTAATATCCTTGACATGAACATGAGCATGATTTACGCATTTCAGTAGAACGACCTTTACAAAAGATAATATGCCTATTCTTAATATCACGAATGGACGTTATCAATTTTAATGACATTAAAATCATACCATATATATACAGTCGTATGTAGAAGTCATGTTCTGACTTTGGGTGAAATGTTTTTGCACGATATACCTGCCTGCTTGCGTGCAGTTCTACAAGCATGGATATTATTCATCAATCACTGAATATTTGATAAAGTGTGATGAGGAAGAAAATGACCTCCTTGCATGCGTCTTAGGCGATTATCTTATAAATTGTGCATAATTAGGGGCTACGCTTTGGATAACAGTATTGAAAAACAGTATTACATATCTTTTGTGTAGTATATACAAATAATTCCGTAAAATTATGTTAGGAAAAAAAAGACATCACATGAAACGTTTAAATAAAGCAACGTTTGTTTGTTTTTTTTTTTTTGGGGGGGGGGGGCTCCTACACACTTAAAATACTAGAATAGGTTGGATCAAAGGAGGTAAATATAAGAAATTTCGCTGCTTTTAAAATTATATTGGAATAATACCATGTTTTTCTTTAGTGGCCGACCCACCAGAACACGTAGAAATCAAGTGTTTGTACGACGCTCAAAAAGACCTCTCATATGTCGTTGTCACTTGGGAGCCTCCAGCAAACCCCCGGGGAACGATTCAGTCCTATAACGTAAGTCTTTGGTTTTTCCAACATTTTTACGTTTTACTGGAGATTAACTTAAACAAACTTGGTATCGTACACAACAGAATACAACATATTTCCACTAAGTTAAACAGTTATTGACAAAAGTATCAGTCCTACAGTTTTCTGTGATACATCTGAACTCGCAAAACACCAAAATATAATGTATAGAATAAGCATTGAGGCAGTTTTGTTATTGCTGGTTTTTTATAACTTAAGACTGGCGTTTTCGCAACGAATACTTTTTTCCATCACCAATCTAATCTGATCTAGTGGATGTTATTATAAGTAAAGTAACTGGGGAATTAGCTGCTATACAACTACTGTGTATCTCTGATCCTAATGTTGTTCTTCTGCATCTCACTTATAGATCACACTTGAAGCTTCAGCTCGCTACCGAGCCACCAACGGTAAAACTGTTGTAGATAAACTTGCAGAAGTGCATGAAGTTAAGGGTGACACATCGGAGTTAAAAAGTATTGTTAAACCCAATACAAACTACACCGTCCGAATTTGTACAAAAAATCGTTCCGGCTGTGGCCCTTTGAGCATAAGAACAACAAGGACAATGTGTTCGTCGCCCCCTAGTGGTAAGCCGATAAACCTGATTCTTATTATACATGGCTTGTTTGGTTCCTATTTTTTCAATAAGTTTCTTGTTAATGTTATATCCATAGTTTTTGTGTGTGTTTTTTCAACAACAGAAACATCATGTTTGATTTACAGTTATACTGTAAATTAAAGTACAGTTTCTTGTTCTAAGCATTCAGAAAAGTTGTAAAAAGTTATTGTTGAAAGTTATAACCTTCGGTCTTACTAGAAGCTGCTAAGGGGTTAATTCTGTAGCTGAGATTATAGAATGCTCACTTGGCGTGCGAAAAGAACCGAGTTCAATCTTGGGGCATATTAAAAAATAGGTCCCCAACGATCGTAAGATTAGGCCTAAAGACGAGCCTTGTTTATTATAGGGGTAACTAAGTAGTTTGGGTTGTTGAAAAGTGTCTTACAAGAATTAGATAGGAATTTAATTTCTTAGCTTAGATAATAATATTCGTTTGGAGTGAAATTTAAACCGAGTTCAATCCCCGAATTACAAAAACTACTGCATGCAGTTGATGGTTGATTGTTGAATTTGATAATAACTATGCCAATTTTAGCTTAATGCGTGGGTGAACTTGTAATATGTTTGTTTGTTGTTAAGTACAAAGCTACCCAACGGGCTAACTGTGCTTTGCCCACCTTGTGTATGGAAAATCGGTTTTTAGCGTTATAAACCCTCAGCCTTGCCACTGGGGTGGCAGGTAAACTTATATCCTTTGGAGGTATAATTCGATATATCTAAGGTCTAGATAAAGGTAAAGATATGTTTTAATTTTTTTAATTATGTCCTTATTACTTCTTATACTGAGCGCCATATAAACCACAAGCTGGAAAGAATAAACCAGACGAAAGTGTTGCTTAATTCTTTCTTTCTTGATTTTTTTATTTCAAGTGTTTTATCCTTTGATTTTGCTGTTTGAAAACTATTCATTTATTTTATTTATTTATTATTTCAGCAGTATCGATAAACTTATTATTATTACCAATATTATTTTCCGCATACATATATAGAACAAACAGACAGACAGATAGATAGATAGATAAGGTTCACCTAAATATCACGGAATGTCTTAGAATTTGAGTAAGCACAGCAAAGTACAATAACATTTTAAAATTATGGAAATGTAGAATGGGTGTAATAGATCGATTTAGTTTGCGTTTGTACTTAATTGTTCTTATAGATCGAATAAGTATATATAGGCTTACCATACTCTGAATGATGTGTTATTCATTTTGAAGCTAAATAGAGACAGGCTTACAGTTCCCTGAACTGTATGTTATTCTTTTTTAAGCTAAAAAACTAGAGATAGGCTTACCATTTTCAGATGTATGTAGTATTCTTTTTGAAGTTAGAATTAGGCTTACCATTCCCTGAACTATGTGTTATTACTTTTTGGAGCTAAATATAGATAGGCTTACCATTCCCATAACTATATATTATTCTTTTTGAAGCTAACTAGAGATAGGCTTACCATTCCCTGAACTATATATTATTATTATTGAAGCAATAAACATGATTTGGTGTTTGTTTTCCTTTCTGATAATCACCATGAGAAGGTTATAAGCAGATTAATTGTTGTTTCATTGTTTCTAGCACCTTCCTCAATGCCAAAGTTCCAACTCCAGCGAATGAAAGAGAAACATAACCATAAGCAGTTAAGACTGACGCTTCAGCGGATATCCGAAAGAAACGGTTTTATTAGGTAAGATATATCGGATTGATGATCTGTATTATAATGCCTTCATACATCACAGTTAGAAAATTGATTTAAAACTTCAGTATTAGAAGTTGTATTCTGGCCATTTAAGAACTTTACTTTTTCTAATAAGAGAAACATTTACAGTGTGTCATAAGTCGAAGTTTATTATCATCACGGGTTTACCAGGAAATGAAAGACCATTACTGTTTGAGATAGCCAATACTTGAGAATATATGTGATTCGTATATACATCACTCGCCAATAAAAAATAAAATAAGAAACACTTACCTAAACCAACAATTTTAGGGATAAGAACAGAATGTTACTTCATTCTAAATGTCAGTATTCAAACAACTAAGTTTGATTCAAAACACATTTTGGAAAACATATTTTTCAAGAGAAAGCACGTGTATCTTTAATTAAATGTAAATGTATTTTACAGATGAGGCCTAGCATGCTCTCCCTTTCAGCCGTAGTGGGCGTTATAATATGACGATCAACCCTACTATCCTTTAGTAAAAGAATGGCTCAAGAGTTGGCAGTGGGTGGTGTTGACTAGATGCTTTCTCTCTCTGGTCTGTCGCTGCTAAATTAGGGACGGCTAGTGCAGGTAGCCCTCGTGTAGCTTTGCGCGAAATTCAAAACAAACCAAATTTACAGATGAAATGTGATAATGTTAAGTTGTATAATATTTTATTTATGCTTAAATCCGAAAATATCCCCAAACCGTTTTCTTGTAAGCTTTGGTAACCTTGATACCTTAAATCGTGCAACTTTTACGTTTGTAGATGTAATTAAAATAATTCAGCGCTGTTTCCTTTATATTGGCATTTCGTTGCAGAAACATCAGTTGAGTGGTGCCACATTATTGCTGTAAAATTTCAATTTTTATAGTACCGTTTTATTCTCATCACGTTTGAAAAATGGTTACTGTTACATAATCGTAACCAAGACATTATTTAACGATTCACCACAAGGAGTACATTTGTTGGGATTCTTAAATCAGTTGATCAAGGAAATTGGTGTTATACAAACATACCGATGGTTTACTTATTGGGAGCACAACACATACAGACACACAAAACAATGCTGGTACATTCTTCGCCAAAAGCACGACACACACACACACATATACTGCATAATTATTTATCAGAAAGTTGACTTTCACAACTTCAGGAGTATGACATCTACATATCGTGTACGATTTTCACAGGCAATTTATCAAGAAGTTAACGCTCACAATACAGTACTTTTAGGCTATCCTTTAGAAGCAGGCCACGTAAGATACACAGTGTTGATGTATGTATCCCACTTCAGTACCAAGGCACTCATACAAATATGCTACACAATTTTCTTATGATATTTATCAGAAAGTTGACGTTCGCAACTACAGGAGTACGACACCTACACGCTGTACACAATTTTCATAGGCTATTTTTCAGAAAGTTGACGTTTGCAATTTCATAGGCTTTTTTTCAGAAAGTTGACGTTCGCAACTTCAGGAGTACGACACCCACAGATTGTATACGATTTTCATAGGCTATTTTTCAGAAAGTTGACGTTTGCAATTTCATAGGCTTTTTTTCAGAAAGTTGGTGTTCGCAACTTCAGGAGTACGACACCCACAGATTGTATACGATTTTCATAGGCTATTTTTCAGAAAGTTGACGTTTGCAATTTCATAGGCTTTTTTTCAGAAAGTTGGTGTTCGCAACTTCAGGAGTACGACACCCACAGATTGTATACGATTTTCATAGGCTATTTTTCAGAAAGTTGACGTTCGCAACACACTGTTGCTAAGTTTTTCAACAGGAAAATGAATGACGAATACACATCACCCAGTGCTGGTCGATTCTTCATCAGGAATATGGCATACTTTACGATATTGATGGATAACAATGCATAATTCATCTACAACCACCAGAACCGACAGTTTATTCGTTTAACATTTGAAACGATCCTAATCAACAGTACACCTCGATACTTATAGGTTGACCTATGGAAGTAAGTTGAAGGCACTTCTGACAGGTTCTTTATCTGCAGCATTATTCGTTTAACATATGAAACGATCCTAATCAACAGTACACCTCGATACTTATAGGTTGACCTATGGAAGTAAGTTGAAGGCACTTCTGACAGGTTCTTTATCTGCAGCATTATTCGTTTAACATTTGAAACGATCCTAATCAACAGTACACCTCGATACTTATAGGTTGACCTATGGAAGTAAGTTGAAGGCACTTCTGACAGGTTCTTTATCTGCAGCATTATTCGTTTAACATTTGAAACGATCCTAATGAACGGTACACCTCGACACTTATAGGTTGACTTGTGGAAGTAAGTTGAAGGCACTTCTGACAGGTTCTTTATCTGCAGCATAGCATATTTGTATTAGTTTCTCACAGTTACGTTCGTTGGTGCGTTTGTTTGTTTTGAAATTAAGCACAAAGCTACACGATGGGCTATCTGTGCTCTGCCCACCACGGGTATCGAAACCCGGTTTCTAGCGTTGTAAGTCCGCAGACATATCGCTGTGCCACTGGGGGACTCGTTGGTGTGTGTGTATGTTTTTGGGGGACCAGTAGAGCGTAGGCAGATTTATCATTTTATTTCACATACAAGGATATGAATAATATTATCAACTAGAAGACTATATTCAGGAATTTTTTTTAAAAAATATTGAAAACGTAATAATAATAATTTCATATTAAAAATACAAATATAAAACCGTTATGCTGCTACGTTTCAGTTTAATTGTTACCAGCACAAGTAAGATTAATTTGTATTCGGTGTTTTTAATCGTGTCATAGTAAATTGTTTTAAGTTAGTGAGGTAACGATGAGTAAATCAACGCAACCTAACCACTGTTGTCTACTAATACTTTGGAAGTGAAATCTGAATGCAAGTATAATTCAGTATACACGAACAAGCATGCGTGGACTTGCATAAGCATATATATAAATTACATTACACGAATGTAATGCAACTATATCATTTATGTAATAGTTATGAAAAATAAAAGCAACGTGGCTCTGGCTTTTAATAAAATTGAGGGATGTGTTTCTTTTTTTGCATCTGTTCACTTACCAAAACTTTAAACTGGATATTGATTTGACTGAAACGATTTAATAAGTTACTGAACAATCGCCGCCTTCGTTCTTTTTAATTTAACGCATGGTAACGCTGAATTACGTTTAGTAACTGTGGTTCGTGAGTCTGACTCTGTTTTATCTCTTTACTTACTAACATATGGGTTAGCTCTGCTCTCTTTATCCCTGTTATATGCGTTTTATATTCATAAGTGATGGACACCCAGATACTGAATAATGCTGTGCAACGTTTCGCGTTTCTGAGAATATACTTATGAAATGTTGACTTGATCATTAACCGAGCTATAGAAATTGCATACCTAATAAAGGATGTGATCTAAGTAAGAATTAAGCACGAACTACTGATAAAACGTTTATATTAAGGTACTCTAATCCCGTTAAATTCTTGAGGTATTCAAAGAGTTCGTGGCGGTTTTCTGCCATTATAACGCCTCTTCAGGCTAACAATGGGAACATGCCGGTGGATATTAAGTTAGGCTTAGTCACTTTGCTGATAGAAGCCCTGCTTAGTTGGCTGCTGGCCAACTTATCTCCCATCGTCTGAACCTACTGTAAAATCGATTCGAGCAGCGTGGTTTGGTTGACAAAAGAAATAACCACGAGCTTGTAATAAGAATTCGAACACTAGAGACTGCATTGTATATTGTGATCAGAAACTAAAGGATAAAAGAAAACTTCGTGTAAGCGCAGAAGAGAAAAATGAAATATAAATTTTTATTTTTATTTCCTAATGATGGGATTTTCGATTCAAATGCATACAACATTATATTACTTTCTTTCCTGAATAAAACATATTTTCGGGGCGTTTCATAACATGATGTTACTAATTGACATTTTCTTTGTTAAAAGAATGATAATCCAGAGTAATGTGCTTCTTATGAAGTAGTATAAAACTAGTGATTGTTCGAGTTTTCAGTGTTTGTTAAGGTACAAAAAAAAAAGTAGTTCGCAGATTGACCTTTCACCACCGAGTCAAAAACAGTCTTTCGATCCTGTGTAAGGTATTGTTTGTATTGTTTTGGAATATGTTTATATATATATATCGTCAAAACCGCATAGCAACCAACATAAATCAAACTTGAGTTATTAAGTTTAGAAGCTGTGGTGTGACGTTTTAATAATGGGAATTTTTCAAGTCATAGCATTTAGCTTTGAGATTAATGGTCCGTCGTTTTATCGACATCCGGCGATTGTCCGTACCAGTGAGTGTTCGAAACTATATAAACTTGAAAAAGTGGATTCAAAATGGCCTTGCAGTTAGCGCCAAAAGTGTTCAGCACTTTCGGCTATGGGAGTGTGATAACTGTGACAGTCAATCTTATTATTCAGTTAAGAGTAGCCGTGCAGACGGTAGGTGAGGTCGACAGTTTGCTCTTTCTCTGGTCATCAATTCTAAATATGGTTAAACCTTTGTGTTTCTTAGCTAGGCCCTTTATTCACGCGTCACATAGGGTTTAGGTTGAAAATACTTTTATAAAATAATTTAATAAAAGAATGACAGCCAAAAATGAATGGTATCATTTACTAGGGAAGGTGGAAACAAACTGGCAGGGGTGAATGACTTCATACATCTCTTTAAAGATGGTAGTGAGAGGTTATAAAGAGAAAATGCCTTTAGGCATCACTTAAAGAGTGGTGGTTAAAAGTTAACACGAGTTATATCGTCGGATATCTCACTTTGACAGTAATACTGACAGATTTACACGAAGTCCTGTCATTATCACCATCCAAACTTTCACTCTTTATGATCTCCAAATACCACTCTCTACTCTAGGTGATATCCAAAAATACTTGTACTGTTTGTCCTTTTCAGACCATTCAGGTTATACCCGTCACCTAGGAAACGATAGTGACAAGAAATGTTTGTTTGTAATTAAGCACACAGCCATACAA